GGGGGGGGCCCCCCTCCCGCCAGCGCCACCGAGCCGGAGGCTGAACAGAGCCGTCATTCTCCGCGGCGGGCTGCGGTCCCCTCTGCGGCTGGCGGGGGGCCCAGGCGGCCCCACCGACGGTGCCAGGTGGGCCGTGCACCACGCCAGCACCGGCCCCCCCCAGCCCCCCCCAATGCTAAATATAGCCACGGCGCCTGTCTGCATCCCAGCGCTCTGTGGTGTGCAACGCTTGTGTTTTGCACGGCGGTGCATGCGCATGGCGGGGGGGGGGGTCTGCTGCACGCAACGCAACGTCGTGCACAGGGGCGTGCACGCAGTGGGAGCCTGGGGTGTGCAGGGCAGCGAGTTTTGTATGTCAGTGCACAGGCCGGCGAGCGCGGTGGTACAGCGGTAGGTGTACGTGCAGTGGGCAGCAGGCACACCAGGCAGCCCACCCTGCACTGCCCTTAGCTCATGGCTATGAGACACCTGGGAGCTCCCAGCGAGGGCCCTCGGGGGTGGAAATGTGCAATTAGCGCTTTTAGTTCAATTTAGTGCAGTTACTTCACTTTTGCAAGGCAGAGAAGCCATCAGCGCCCGGCACAGGGCTCTGGCAGCAACACCGGGCTGCTTGGGGGGCACCCAGGTGCAGGGTGGGGGGCACGCAGGGGTGCTGGCGCTGTGTCGTGGCAGTGGGGCTGGGTGGGCACCCCCGGGATGTTCCCCAGCTCGGGGACACCCTTGCGGCACCCGGCCTGCCCAGCACCAGGATGGGCCTTTTGGCTTTGGGACGTGGGCACCCCCCAAAAACCTCTTGCTTCAACTGGGGGGCTCCACAGCATCTCCAGCACGGGCAGACTGGGACGTGGGGAGCCAAGACATGCGCCCCCCCCCCAAGAAGCAGGGCACCAAGTCCCACCCGTGTCCCTCTCCCACATCCTGCTGGCATGTCCCTGCTGCTGTGATGCTCGAGCCTGCCCACCCCCAGGAGGGCCACCCTGACACAGAGCCACTGCCAAGGAGATGCTTTATTGGGGGGCGGTGAGTCGGGGGGGGGGGGTGTCAGCCAGGGGGCCAACCCAGCTGCCGCCCCCCCAGCACGTGGAGGTGCAGATGGTAGACGGACTGGGCGCCATGTTTCCCGTCGTTGATCACTGCAGGGAGAGGGGACGGGAGGGGGGGTGGGGGGTCAGGCTAACCCCACACATCCCCAGCCCCCCCACCCCTGGGACCACCGGCGAGGGTCCTGCCCCATGGCACGGCAGGGGCCACCAACTCACCGAGGCGGTAGCCGTCAGCCAGCCCCTCTGCCTGCGCCGTCCGTGCTGCCACCACCAGCAAGTGCCCCAGGAGCTGCGGGGGGGTGGGTCGGGGAGCAGGAGGGTCAGCACCGTGCGTGTCCGTCTGTCCGTCCTGCCTCACCCAATGTCCCAGGGACATCG